ATGCCTTGTTACGAATTTTACATGTTGCGTACTCTTAGTCCCGTGAAGTCGCATGGAGTAGTTTGTAGTGGATTTGTTTTATGTAGTTCTAGTGTTCCCCACAACGTGGAATATTGAAATGAATGGTAATAAGCAGAATTTAATGCGAAACGATAATTTTCAGGATTCCAGTGTCAGTTTGATTAAGCCAAACTGCGCTAAACGCGATTTTACGTTTCAGGTAAGGGAACAAATCGAGCTTTAGAAGATGATAGAAATGTCCTAGTTTTTGAAGGATATAATGTTTCGTTAGAACTCCAACATTTACCGGATCATTTCGGTAGAGAAGTCTCCGAAAACAACGGCCTGCAGTTTCCACCTGCACGTGTCCCACAGTGACTTGGTGGCCATCTTTGATTCATTGATTCCGTTTTCAACATGATACGATGTCTGTTTCACGATTCGCACTTTCATATCACCTCCTGGCATCCTTCCAGACCGTTGGAAATCAGAGCAGTAAGGCGGATTTGCTTTACACTTAACATTGATCGTCCTTGGCCGTGTCGTCGTTCATCGTCTATTCGTGGCACTCCTCCTCTCCACGTATTCAAAGCCTTCGTTGACTTCGATGTAAACGTATCAAATAGCGGTCTCGTTCACAACATTCTGTCTTGTTGCCGTTCCTCTTTCCTCCCTTTCATCGTTTTAGTTTTTTTCCATTGACTCGTTCCGTGTCTCGTTGCTGTCAGCTTTTGACGGCGGCTTCTGCTCTGTTTTTCGCCATCAGCACGGTGGATCTACCGTCGGTGGTAGTTTTCACTTTTCAGCGAAGTCATTTACTTACCTGTCACAAAGTCACCCAACGGCCACGGTAGTTTGCGACCGCGCACCGAGGCCGACCGTCGTTCGGATCGATGGTCAAAGATTTTCGGTTGACCGCCCCGGCCGGGTCGCTGGCCGTCTCGTCACTTGCACTTCGTTCTTCGGTCATTTGCCAACGTGAATTTGTTTGCTCAGCAATTAGTGTCGATGATGGACAGAACTGTGCTGTGAATTTCGCTTCGAGAACAACGCTTGTTTTGTACCGAAATAGAGCAGGAAATTTGTCCTCCCCTGCTGTCCGCGTTACGGTGTCTTTTGTCCCCGTTATGGGAAAAGTAACGACGTGCCCATGCCACATGGTTGCATGTTTTCCTCGTCACGTGTTTTCCTCGTTATGATGTTGTCGTCAAAGTTATGACCAGGTAATCGAATAGGGCTAATGGGCCGCCTTGCGGCTGCCGTTCGTTCAAGGCATCGGGCTCCAAAGGCTACATGCGTCAACAACGTATTGGTAATTGTACGTCGATGCCTCGATAATCATATCAAAAATGCAACGGTCCAAACAAGTTATTTAGCATAACTAGTATATGATTAGTCTGTTCGAAAGATAAGCTTCAGTCGATCGACGTATCGGTTCGCATCTCATGCGTGTCCTTCATAGCAAGGTTGTCGATAGGCTGTCGATGTTGGCGACGGCGGCAGGTGGTGTGTCGTTGTTTGAGCACAAAGGCGAGCAAGTTCTGTGTTGCTACGGCTGATCTGTGAGATACGGACCGAAACGTTGATGAAAATTTAATATTTATGCTAAAACAGGTTTATGTTATATGAAAAAAGCCATATTGGAGCAGTTCGATTCTGGAACCAATTTTAATGGTTGGAGCATTAAAAATAACACCACTTAGCAGCTGAAGATCATCACTTGCTCTGACGTTAAAAAAGAAAATGAGGAAAGTTTGTAATTGTTGAAATATCAGCCTTGCTTACACTCTCTTGATGCGGAATTTTCGGTGCTCTTACTTTCATAAAGTTAATAATGGACGCTGCCTTTCATTTGCGTGACGTTCGCTAGCCAAGAGTGCCTTATTTTAAAGGCACAGTGGATCACAGCTTCTGACTGGCATAGTGCTTGGTTTCCTGATTCCTTCCTTCCGAGTGAATGGTAGTCACGAATTTCGGAAGGAAGAAAGACTCGAACCCCGAAGGCGTCTCGGTTCTGAGTTGAACGCTCAGCGAAAGACTGTGCAAGCCTTGTCTGAAACGACGTGTAGTCAATTTCTTGCTCAAGGGAATTCATGGTTAAGGCAAAGATTTCCGTCGGCTGAAATCGAGCCCGTCGCTTTTGGTGCCACTCTATTGTTTACCGACGCACATTGGCAAAGTTTTTGGCCACAATTTTGTATCAGAAAATATAGCATCTCCCACTCATCCATAATACAGTGTTGGTGGGAATTTCTGCGTGTGTAGTTTATTAATGTAAATGGTGTTGCTTTGTATTTTCGATACTCCGCTTTATTTCGGTCACCGATCAGATGGCATTCTAACGAATGACTAAGACTGACAATTGAAGAAGTTAAGGCAGCTGTGTCTTTGTCGCGTAATGACACGATAATGCACGGAATAACTCGGTTCTTTTCCGGGAACAAGAGACTTCAAAAGACGTGTAAGAATTCTTTTAGCGTAGAGCGTTTACTCCATCTAGCGATCATCTCAGCTGGAAACCGAAACAGCAGGCGTCGACCAGGAGGCTGCCATGCAACATGGATGAGCAACGTGGAGGCAGATCAAGTTTCGAACAGAAATCAATGATTTCACGTTGCAGTTTCCAGTGCTTATGGTGAAGCTGCCTAAACGTTGTGAATACAACGGAAATCACAGACATTATACGTTCTCGTTATGCACATGGTTCAGAGTGATGATCTCGTCCATCACACAGACTCAAACACACATCGAAGACTGAAACCGATTTAGAAGTCAATCGAATTTACTATTCATTAATTTCTGACTTAAAAGATTTAGCGAAAAGCCAGCTTCTCGTGTACTCTGTCCATGGCAGGCATCTGTCAGAGGTTGTTGTCGCATTTAGCGAAAAGAACAAGTATTACGTAACTTAAGATTGAAAGGTTTGCGCATGAGTTAATTCGCCTCTGTAAGTCGACGTTCATTTTTTTGAAGTTAGAGGCAGGCGAATTTGACAACGGGCAGTGAAAAGACACGAAACTACGTAAGAAAAAATACACGCACGATCGACTATTTTGTCATACCATTTAGAATTGTTAAGTGAGGCTGCATTCGTAATTACATGTATGTATGAGATCCGAATGACAGCCAGACAGAATCAACGATTCATGAGAAAGCAACAGGAAAATGAGAAATTGTGCAATAAAATCGATTCATATTTCTAGGACATTTGGCGGCGCGAATGGGGGGTGTTCGTGTGAAGCAGTTTAACGTAATCAGAAGCTGCTGAAAGCTAGAGAAACTAACTTAAAAAGGAAATGTGTACAAGTGGTGAATCGCTGTATGACGAAGTATAGTTTGCCATTGCGATGAGTTGCTAAATGATTGAACGTCGGAATGTGTCAGCGAGTACTGGATTGAGTCGGATTGACGTTTCTTCACCGTGACAGCGGTCCGTTGTGTCAGTATCTCGGTGCTTG